TTTTTTTTTTTTTTTTTTTTTGCTGAATAGTATTCCATTGTAAAATTAAAAAAAATTTTTTTTAAAGATTTTTTTTTTAATGCATGCAGAACTGGGGTACAGGCCAGAGGTGCAGGGGGATGTACAGAAGTGGGGTTGTGAGAGGATTCACCAGAGACAGAGTGGGAAGCAGAACAGGCAGATCCTCGAAGTACACTGTTGAGGGGAGCAGTGGGCATGACTCAAGAGGTCTGCTCCACATCTTTTTGATCTAATTATCTATTTTTGGGCATTTGGATTGTTTCCAAGTCTTACCTATTATAAATAGTGCTGCACAAACCTGCAGTTTTTATATTCCTTCCCGTTTTTTAAAGGGATATCTTCTCTTTAATAAAGATATGACTGTAATCAGTCATTTTTTTTAACACATAATTTGCTGGTACTCTTTTTTGACAATTTCGAAATTTTGATGTTTCCTTTAATGATATTTCATTTTCTTATTGCTGCAAACTTTAGCTCAAGCTTCCAAATCGAGTATGATTAGTATCATTTCTAAAATACAATTGTAATGCAAACTGATCCATTTTATTTACAGTAAACTCAGTGTATCATTTTTCCTTTGAGCACTTACAAATTAGTTTTGATATCCTTTCATGTTGATGTTTTATGTTTATTTAATATTCTGCTTTAGATTTTTGCTTGCAAGATAATTTTTACTCAAATTGTAATGTTTGAGAAAGTAAAATATTAGTAACTTGGGAACTTTAAACAAGTATGTATTGTATTGTAAAGAACTTTTCCATTGACCTACTGAAATTTGAGCTCTGCATATGAATAACTTAAAGCAGTTTTAAAATATCTTTTCCAGTTCCTGCTTGATTTCCTTTTTACATGTAATGCTTCCTCAAGTCCATAGCATTAAAAAAGAAAAAAGTATACCAATAATTTAATTTCATGAGTCTTCTGTGTATGGAGTCAATTTTATTTTTTCTGGCTTTATTTAGTTGAATTTAGCAAGCTTACTTGTCAAATATAGCATTGAATTATCTGTACCTGTTAACTTTTTATTACTGTTTAATTCTATCACATTTTGCTTTTAAGTGAATGCACAAAAATTTTATATATGAAGTGTATTTCTGTCTTTATAGGATCCTATGGTCATACAATTAAAAAATACAGTTCCTTTGGTGATCTTGTTCAAGTCCTGGGTACCCCAGGCAAAAAAGGCACTGGTTTGAATCCCCTGCAGTTTGATAACCCTGCAGAATTATATGTAGAAGACACAGGAGATATTTACATTGTGGATGGAGACGGAGGATTGAATAACAGATTGATCAAATTGTCCCAAGGTACGTAGTTTAATTTTGTATTATAAGAATATTATTCAGTAAGTTGGAATAATATTGTAACTGTTTTATCTGAAACTGTGTATAAAGGACTCAAGTGAATTATGAGGAAAAAGACAGAACACGTGTATGGTATTGCCAGTAATAAATGATTCTAATAATAGATGTCTTATTCTTCACCTTAAGCTAGGTATTTCCTTTGAAGTGAATAGAGGCAGTTTGAGAGTTTATAGTACGTGGAATCCAATACAATAAAGAATTAGAAGGTTAGGAATCTGGCATCTCAGAACTTAGGTGTCTGATCAGCAAGTGTTCTATTCTCTGCTTTGCATCCTCTGTTATTTTATGTGCATGTCTGTACAGATGAAACAGTTAAATACTACTCTACATGTTGACAACCTACTGACTGTGTACGTAAAATAGAATTAGGAGAACAAGAAACTACTGTTAACAGGAGAAGTGGGACAAAGTTCCTGAAGGAAATGTTAATTGTGATTTGGTTTGGTGGGAGGAAAAGATAGTAGTGGTAGGCTTTAACACACATTGTTTACAGGTGATATTCAGCAAGTCTTATAGGAAAAGAGCATAGGATGCATTGTTTTTTATAGTGGAAAATAAGATTTGAATGTCCTTGCAAATTTATCTAAGAATTTTGAAGCTGTAATTTTTTCTAGAAAAAGTCTTTGAGGTTTTTAGTAAGAAAGTGATGATACAGAAGTGGAACATTTGTACGGTACAATAACACATCAGGATGTATTTCAGTAAGGTCTGTCATTTGTAGACTTTGTAGTCAATTGATCCAGTAAATGAATTTGGTCATTGATTCTCAACAGAGCTGAAGTGGCGATAAAGCAAGAATTCAAAATAGTCTATAAAACAACCAAATTTAGGAGGCAGATTAAATATAGGTATATTAGTTTCTTGTGGTTGTTGCAACAATTTGCCATGATCTGGGTGACTTAAAACAATACTTTATTTTCTTTCAGTCATAGAATCCATGCTCCCTTTAAAGGCACTAGAGGAGACTCTTGGCCACTTCCAGCTTCTCATGGGTCTAGGCATTGCTTAGTTTGCAGGAGCTTACCTCTCTGTCTCTATTTTAATTTGACTTCCTTCTCTGAGTTTTGTGTCCAAATCTCCCTCTCTTCTTTCTTATCAGGACACTAGTCATTGCTTAGTGTCCACCACAAATCCAAGATGACATTATCTTAAGGTCCCAAGCAGTTTTGTCTGTAGAGACCCTAGTTCCAAATAAGATTCCACTCAGATACTGAAGATGAGAACTTACACATAACTTCTTGGAGACCACAATTCAACCTGTTAACAGTGTAATGAAGAAATAGGCTATAAAAAGTAATGTGAATTTTCTAACTCAGAGGAATGTTAAATAATGTAAGTTGGGAAGATAACCTGTTTGAATTAAAGGATGACATGAACTCTTAAGTAGTGATTTTGAGTGATGAAAGATTCAAGTGGAGATAATCATTAAAGAAATAGATGTATTGACTGGAATGGAGGAGGAATTTGTATGTGATAAATCATAAGAATTTGGGAAATAGATATATAAATGGAAAACATAATTAACTGGGGTTTTAATTGATGAGTTTGTAACTTATGACATAAAATATAATAATCAAATCCAAAATGCATTCTATATAATACTCTGGCCATGTGTGTTTACTGCTTACAGATTTCATGATGCTTTGGCTGCGTGGAGAAAATGGAACAGAACCTACAAAGTTCAACATACCTCACAGTGTTACAGTTGATTCAGTTGGCCGGGTAAAAATACAATGTCATTGTGTCTGGAAACAGAACTGAGTATGTTTATGACAGGGTGTTTGAATATCCTTTTGAGAGGCCTTGAAGATCATTTAATGGGAATACTCTGGCATTAGTGAGTGATGAAAAAGGATTCTGCACACTTGTGTTGTTTAACAGCAATGCTGTTTGGCATTTTATATGATTATTTCATTGACAACCAAATCCCATATGAGAATTAATTAGTTTCAGAGTTAGACCTTTTTTTTTTTTTAAAGATTTATTTATACATACAGAGCTAAGGTATAGGCCAGAGGTGTAGGGGCAGTGAGAGGATTCACCAGAGACAGAGTGGCGAGCAAAACAGGCCGACTAATGAAGTACAGGGCTGAGGGGAGCAGGAGGCGGATCAGGAGAGGCCTGCTGTGCCATGTGGATCACCTCCCAGGTGGGGATCAAACTCATGCTGAAATGGCTTTAGCTTCCTAGTGCTGTGTTTTAACCCACTGCACCACCAGGGAGAGCCTAGACCTTTTTCTTAAACAAGGTTTCTCATAATCAGAGTCCATCAAGTAGATAAAAATAATGCTAATAATCTCAAGTGTCATTCAGTTACCTGGTCTAAACTATATTTTCTCCTATATTACCCCAAAATCTTTAAGGAAACCTATCCTTAATAAAACATCATTAAGAAAAGAACCTAAGAAATTATCTTACTTAGAGATGAATAGCCTTTCTGCAACAGAGATGAATTCAGTGACTACCAAAATTCCCACGCATTGACAAAGATATACTCAGCATTAGCCTGAGTATATAAAAAAGGATCCCTGAGCCCACAAACCCCCCCAAATGCAAAAGGCATGAATGGATGAAGTAGAGGGTAGCAGGTTTCTCCTGCCTTCTAGTACATTCTTGCCCTCCACAGCTCTAGCATGTCATTAAAAACCCTTTTCACTTTATGCATGCCGTGAGTTGCTTATATAACGTACATGAAATACCATTTAGAGTGAATCTGATTTCTGATTTATAACATTTTTCACTGACTCCTTATAGTAGATAACAAGCCAAATTAAACCTTTTTTTAACCTCTTTATATGTTAACAGAGTCTCTCAAGCTGTTTCATTCAGTGGTTCAGCACTTTGAATATGCCCTGATAATATGCAGATAGGGGCTTAATGGCTTGGCATTATGGATCCCCACCCCCAGCCTGAGCTTCTAAGGAGCAAGTCTATCCTTCTTTATATTGGACTTAGTAACTGACAGATTGGCTGTATTCAGGGAAAATGAATGCTTTTTGGAGGAATGAGAGTAACAAATTCAGTTACTTTCAGAATCTGCTAACCATCCCATAACAGTGGAGTCCCCTAGTTTTTTATTCACGTGTTTAGAGTAGCAGACAGTGTTACAGGCTTCTCATGGATGGATGGCCATTTAATTGTTGTTTTCCCACCTCCTGAAAACTCACATCAAACAGGCATTTTACTTTCCTGAACTGCAGTTTTCTATCTAAAGATGAACTTAAAAAAAATGTTTTGGGTTCTGTAAGGACAACATTAAGTAACATAAACTAATGAAAATAAACCCTCATTTTCTTCACTCTTACCTCTTTTTTATGTTATTAAGATGTGGCTCTTTTCCAATAAAAATTTCTTTTGTTTTCAGGTATGGGTTGCTGACCGAGGAAATAAAAGAATTCAGGTATTTGATAAAGAGAGCGGGGAGTGGTTAGGCGCATGGAATAATTGTTTCACAGAAGAGGGACCGTCTTCAGTCAGGTAATTACTTTTTTTAAAGTGCTGGTTTTATTTGATTTATATTTTCTCTGAAGAGCTAGCTGAAAGTTTAAAATGTTTATTGTTAATTAACAATTTAATTAAGGAGTAATTAAGGGGAGAAGCAGACAGCTTATATTTATAGTTCAGATCTCAAGCAGTGTGAAAGCAGGTGAACTGCCAGTGTTCTGTGGGGTCTGACTCTCAGGTAATATGTCCTGGATTGCTCTTACAGCCTTTACCCTCGAGATAAATTGGGTAAACTTTTTTTTTTTTTAAGATATATTTATTTATGCATACAGAACTGGTTATAGGCTGGAGGTGCAGGAGCGGTCAGAGGATTCACCAAAGACAGAGTAGGTAGCAGAAAAGGCAGATTAACTTGAGATACACTGCTGAGGAGGGGCAGTAGGCAGGTCAGGAGAGGTCTATTGTGCCATATGGGTTACCTCCTTAGTAGGGGATCAAACTTGCAGCACAGTGGCCAAGGACAGCTTCATAGTACCTGTTGTGCCACAAGGGAGGGCTCAGATTGCATAAAAATCACCCAACATAGGATAAAAATCAAAATCTGAGTCTGCAGTGTCAGATCCAGCCTAAGTCAAATTCTCCATTAGTTTCATTTTGAGTTTGTACTTTAATATTAATTTCTTAAAATGTATATTGCTGATCTGTGGCTATGTCTACCCTTAAAAATCTCTTGCTCCTTCATACACAGAATTAGGTCAAATTTAAATTATCAAAAGAACCATCTAGCTATTAGCGGTCCTTGTGCGGCACTATTGGGGGTAAAAGTCTTAGAAATAGAAGCATTTTAATTTTCCATGCATTTATCATGTCTAATGTTTTTCTCCTTAGATTTACTCCTGATGGGAAGTATTTGGTCATAGCGCAGCTGAATCTTAGCAGGCTTTTATTTGTGGCAGCGCCCCCAGCAGGGGGTATTGGTGACTGTTCTGTGATCAGCGCAATCCAGCTAGCAGATCAAGTTTTACCTCATCTCCTGGACATTAGTGGAAAGACTGGAGCAATCTATGTAGCAGAAATTGGAGCAAAACAAGTACAAAAATATGTTCCTTTCAATAGCGATTTCTCTTCGTCTGGCTGATGATGTTTCTTCTTCTGGAGATCTTTGAAGTGAAAGTTCATATCCTCAAATTCATTGTTAAGTACTTAAAAATAATGTTCAAGCACAATCATTTGTTTACCTTTTTTTTTAATCATTAAGAATCATATGTTTTATTGTTATTCTGTAACCTGGTATTTCTTTGAAGTGCAAAAGGATGTTTTAATGAAAGATTTTTTTCACTTTTAAAAAAAGTGGAGTTGGATAAAAGGACTAAAGTCATAGCCTGGTCATTTGCCCTGAAGACTAATTCTCTATGAGGAAAAAAAAGCAGCAGCAAGTGTTTTGTAGGGTAAGGAACCAGAGGACTCTAGTTTGTTTACCTTACAGAAAATGAACTGCCTGAGAGACCAGTCTGATGGACTCGCTTGTGTACCCGAGTGGCTGGTCCTGAAGATTCAACAATGAAGCAGCTGCTTTGGTCTGTGTGTGCCTTCTGAGTAGTTCCTAGCACAGCACAGTGTCAGCCCACACAGTGTGGTGGGACATTTCAGGGAAGTAGCATTGCATCTGACTGAGGGCATCATGGAACCACAGGGGGTGTTTGTTTGAGCTCCAGTTTAAAAACTGGAAAAGAAAACATGGTCTAGAAAGGTTTAAAGCTGTAAACTTGCTGTGAACTTTGCTAGGTTTTCTCTTAAAGACCCAATATGACTGATACTTTTATGAAAGGGAATGTCAGCCTTTAAACCAAAAAGGTCAGCATTTTAAACAACAAAATTTGGCTTTTAAGAAAAAATGAATGAGGTTTTCCTTTATTAATTTTCACAATATTAATCTTAACCTTTACATGGTTAATGTCTAAGCACTTTACTGAAAAGAATCTTCACAACTGCAGGAAGGATCTTTACAACTACAGGCTCACTTCATTGTGGGTTTTGCTTTAGATCACCATGACAAAGGGAAAGTTGCACTAAAGCTAGCAGGCAATTTTTTTATTTCCCAGTACATATAAAAGTTATGTTTACACTATATTGTAGTTATTAAATATGCAATAGTACTATGTAAAAAAAGTGTGTATACTTTAATTAAAGGTACTATATTGCTAAAAAATATTAAGGGGATGTTGTGGCTGGGTTGGTTTTTTTTTTTTTTTTTTTTGCAGACTACTCACTTTCTCCATTTCAGCAATAACACTGCTTTGATTTCTTATCATTTGTATTATGGTCACTTAATTCCCTTCAACATCTGTACCTTTCTCCATTTCAGCAATAACACTGCTTTGATTTTTTATCATTTGTATTATGGTCACTTAATTCCCTTCAACATCTGTTCCTTTGCATTCACAGCTTGTGAAAGAGGCCTATCTCAGCTTTCGGCATGTCTTCCTCACTGAAGCTTCCTTATACTCAAACTCTTAAAGGTCATGGTAGGGTTAGTAACTGGCATAATTTCATTATTGTCATGTGTCAGGAGTTAAGAGGACCCAAGAAGAGGGAAGACATGGGGGAACAGCTGCTTGGTGGAGCAGTCAGAACACTCGTCTACACTTCAGGTTCACTGACTGCTGTGGATGTAGTTTGTGATGCTTCAAAACAGTTATAAGAGTAATATCCCAGGTCACTGATCATGGATCACCATAATAGATATGGTAACAATGAAAAGGTTTGAATTATTGTGAGAATCACCAGTATGTGACACAGAGACATGAGGTGAGCCCATACTGTTGGAAATATCTCACTAGTAGGCTTCCTCTATGCTGATGTGCTACAAACCTTCAGTTTATAAGAAAATCAGTTATATGTGCAACACTGTAAAATGAAGTACAGTACCACATGGTGTGCCTGTTCTTAATCTCAGCCTTTAAATGTTGGCATGAAATGGCTGGTCTTTGAGCACTTTACTGAAAGGTAACTTTACAAATAACAAATATTTTTATTCAAGGTAGCAGTAAATATAATGCTCTCCTCGTGCCTCCTTTTTTAATGTGAACTCAGTTCATTCCTAACATTTGTCTACCTCTAAGAAGGTTTAAATTTATAGTGGAATGTGTGCCAAACACTCTGAGCTATTACGATGAAGAATGCCCTGCCTTCCTGCCTCTGTGTCTTTCTTTTTTCCCCTTGATCTGAATGTTGACATCCCAGTTAGGACTGGCATTTCCAGACTGATTTTAATGGATCAGCTTAGCTTTCGCTTCAGGAAAATGGGAACATCATAGTCTCTTTTCTTTTGTGAATTCTGTGAAAGTCAGGTGGGTAGGTACAATGTGTTCTTTTCTAGCGCTCTCCAAGTAATCAGACATTTTATTAACAAAGATTCTTCTAAATGTGTTGTTTACCTGACACCAACTCATTTTTGTTTCACGTTCACATTTATTGCTTTTGTCAAAACATAGGAACTTTATGTTGTATATCCAGTATAGTAAGTTGGTTTGGATGAAAGAAAGTAATCTCAGGTTTTATGTGTTTTTAAGTTAGCACAGGTAGTATAAGTCTCTTTGAAGGAATGCAGTTATATCAGCTGATTTTTGTAATTTCAGATATATATCTAATGTTTTATACCAATTCTTATAAAACTTGCTGAAGAAATTGATGCTGTATAACTTGCTAAAAATGTTTTATTTTATTAGCATATGTTTAACCATATTATTTCACTTTCCTCTTGTAATAATTGGCTAAATGCGTGAAAAATATGATGTATTTTCCATGAAAATGCAAATAAAGTTTTTGGAAACAAATGCAGTACTACCTGACTTTGCCATTAAAATTTGACTGTATTATAAAAAGTTTGTCATTTCTTATTCCAGTGAAGAATTCTAGCAATTGAGAAATCACAGTTTGATGCTGAGATTACCTTTCTCTTCATTCATATGTGAAGAATAGGCTGAACTACATAAATGTTGCTAACAGATCAAGACATAATGTGGGTTTTGAAATGAAGATAAAAATTAGGGTGATAATTAGATAACTCTTTGTTTAGGAATGGAATTACTCTGCCTCTACTTTGTAAATCTGTTCTTGAGGTAGGAAGGGACTAGTGAGTATATCTAAATTTGAAAGTCAAAAATTGTAGGTGTGTCTCCTAATCTCTACTGTAACATTGGTCTTTAAAATATTTGACCATCAAAGAATGCATCGGGTACAGTCTGGTGGTAAACCAAAGGGAGCCACATCATTTATACTAATTTAATGTATTCAAAAAAGAGCACTTTGGGAAATGACTGTTAGCCTCAAAACAATGAAGTCCTGATTTCTATTTTGCCTTTGTTGATTTTAGACATCATTGGATTTTAAAGCAGGATAGATTAGCTAGTCAATATTAAAACTAATTTATGGTTTTACAGTTTTTACTCTCACATCTATGTTTTCAGCAATAAATCAACCCCCTCCCCCACCTTTTAAAAAGAATATATCAACTTTATTCAACAAAAACTTGTGTTCAAAAAAGAGTAAAGGGGCCCTCCCTGGTGGTGCTGGTTAAAGCACAGCACAAAGAAGCTAAAGCCACTTCAGCATGAGTCCAATTCCCGCCCCAGAGGTGATCCACATGGCGCTGCCAACCTCTCCTGACTCACCCCTCAGCAGTGTATTTTGTCGATCTGCCTGTTCTGCTCCCCACTCTGTCTCTGGTGAATCCTCTCACTGCCCCTGCACCTTTGGCCTGTACCCCAGCTCTGTATGCACAAATAAATAAATCATTAAAAAAAAAAGAGTAAAGGAAGGCACTTAGACAAGGGCCTTCTGCCCTAGTAGCTCCCACCTCCTTGGAAAATGAGCGCCACAAACCCTTCACCTTTCGGTTTATTCTGGGAACCCCCAGAATAAACCCCAGCACTTATGTCTTTCATTCTTGAATCAAAAGAGGGCAGTAGAGTCCTGCTCATGGTTACGTATTTTCTTGAATTCAAAGGAATATGTGTTCACCTTTATACTATTCTTTTAAGTGAGACTACAATATTTAAAATTTTTCTTTGACTTACATCATGAGAAACTTGACTTAGAAGTTGGCATTTTTTCCCCCAGGATGGTTGGCAATTTTTATTTTTAATTAGACATTTTGACCTTAGTTAAATCTTTTCAATAATTCAAAGTCTGATGTGAATAAAATGCTTTTAAAAACTAGATTCAGAATTTGTGAATTTAATACAACAGAAAATCCATTCATGTTAGTGGGGATGATTCTCCCTAATAGTTTTCTTCTTTTCCTTTTTAGAAACATTTTGTTTGTTTTTTTTTTTAGAAATAAGAGCAGTAGATAATATACAAATGAGGCCAAATCTTTATTCTCCTAGGAACTTACCCACAGAATACATGAGTTCATTGACTAAATTTATGGCACATGGATACTTCCTCTGAAAGTATGAACAATGTTGAATTTGAGCAACAAAAATAACACTTTTGAAACTTGTTCCTTCATTGTGAACAATGACATTATCATGATGGCATTTTACTTTGTATAGAAAAGATGAAGTTCTTTTTTATACTTCACATCTACTTACCTTAAATATGTTAACTTCAAGGATATTATAGATAATTGGGTTTTTTAGGTATATCACTTTGAAAACAAAGATAATACATCTTTCAATATTTTTATTGCTTTGATTTTTAAAAAAGTTTTGCATTAGCTACATTGACCAAAATAATGTTAAATGATAACAGTGACATAGGATAGCCCTACTTCTGATTTTAATGGAAGTGTTAGTTACCACATGTATGTTATAAATGTTAGTCATAAATTAATGTTTATGGTTAAGTTTTGGTAATTTTCATAGGTAGGTTTTTTTTTACCTCAGAGTTTTTTAAGAAAATAAATTTTATACAATGGTTTTTTGGTGGGTAACTTACAGATTTCATCTTTATGTTTATTATTGATAATTACTTGTTAATTTCTTGCTTGAAACTTACTTTCTTGAAACAAAGAGGGCAGTAGAGCTCTAAATTTATTCCACCTTTTTGCAAAAGGAATCTGAGTTTCCTGATGATAAAATAATTAGAATAGAGTAATACCAAAAATTGCATCATGGTAGAAAACCATATTTATTCAAAACATGGATTAATAGTTTGAAGCAATTAAGCATTAATGTTGGGCTTTCTCCTAGCTGTAGGGAAGAGGGAAATATGGGTAGACAATTTGCATCTGATGAAATAGTTTCATTCTTCAGGAAAGAAAACCTTTTCATTGCATGGATCTTTATAGGTGGAATAAACAAATCTTCAACAAAAATTTAATATAGCATGAAGAAATATTCATATTATTATAGGTTGAGAAATCAAGAAGATATAATAAGGGAATGGAGTTTTTAAACTTGAAACTCAAAAACTTTATGCTTTAAGATATTATCAAAGCAAGCCTGCTCTCACTCAGGCTGCAAGTTGGTCTGTGTTGGTATATATGGAGTACACATTGAGGATGGATACAGCATGTGGTGCTGCCCAGTAGAAAGGATGGCTGGTGTCTCTATTTCTGCTAGCCAGTGTGGTAGTCTCGGCACAGTTGGGCTTGTGTGTCTGAGTAAATGAATTGGGAAATTCTTCTTTAAAATTGATTTAAATTTAAATGATCACTTGGGGTCCTATAGTGGACAGCACAGCAGGTGACTCTAGGTTTCCATACTAATATATAATTTTTGGCCCTCGCTGGTGGCGCAGTGGGTTAAAGCACAGCACTAAGAAGCTAATGCCACTTCCGCATGAGTTCGATAAATAATCTTTAAAAAAAAGTTACCATTCACATTAAAAGATGTAACTACTGTTTTGGGAACTGCTATCACAATTTCCCAAATGAAAATGAAGTTGGTCTGTGAAGAACTGAAGAAAAAAGTTCCCAAAAAGCATTTAAGTTTTCACATATATGGGTGTGTAGTTATTTCACCTGTTCATCTCTGGAAATATATCAAATGTTCTTTTACTATAGTACATTTTCTCTGAAAATTCCGACACATACTTTTCTATATAAATAGGTCAGGTTTCAGTGAAAACTTACCTCACAAGTCATTTATGCACCTCATCAGAGATATTTATAATAATTGTTTCAAATTACTAAAAATCAAAATGGAAAGCAATCAAATGCAATTACAGCCTCATACTATTAGTGTTGAATTATGACATCTTCACTGTTTACATTGTTTTTCATCTTTGTACTTTAAAGCCTTA